GCTGCAAAACGTTTGGAAGCACTGGATTTACAGGTTGTTCAGCTGGAACACGCAGTGGAGCAATCCGAAGAAAAGGTGAAGGAGGAAGAGGCAAGACTGAACGAACTTCGCGCCCAATGCGCTCGAAAAGATGACAGAGTTGTGCGTTGTTGCATTTACAGTCTTTCATTTTCTGGTGAACAAATCAAAAATTTGTTAAGTAATAGGATAAAAAATAGGCTTTATTTAAAAACGGTTGAAAGAAGTGGAAGAGCAAAAGAGGTAGGAAATGAGAATTACAAAATTTATAAATTATAAGAATTAATTTAATGGTAAGAAATGTTTCGGTTCATTAACTCTTATACATTTCTTACCATTACCACAATTGGACCTCTTCAGTGCGGCGATTGTGGTAATTGAAGCTAATGACTATTAAGATTAAATTAATTGTATAATGAATGTTAATAGTAAGAAGTACTGTGGAAGAAGATTAGCAGTAATAATAGTAATTCTTGTTAAATTGATTAATGTGATGGGAGAAGTAATATGAAGGTTAAGTAAATTTAGCGTTGTATTTAGTTTTCAGCGGATTGAGAAACTTTCGATTTTACTGTCCATCTTTCCTTAACTGCATTAGACACCCTTCGTTGAGTGGCACGTAGAATCGCCGCAAACACGAAGGAAAAGAAAAGTCCAGGCAGTTAGAATGTTGCGCAGATGGTGCCTGTTATGAAAAATATTTGGGGGAAGAAAAACTTGGGGGAATTTCGAGGTCTGGCTTTATCTCAGTAACTTTTGGGCTTTAAAACAGTTCTGAAACTGACCAAAAGTTGTTACCATTTGAATATTTCTTATGTGCTACACAATCTGTAAGAAGTCGTAAGATTCAGGTGGGAGCGGGAGTTTATCATTTCACTAATTTATCATTTTGAAGGGACCATTTCCTGTCATTTTCAGCAAACTCAGGAACTTTTGCAAGCGCAGAAAGAAGTGCAAGCGCTGGAAGATAAGAAATAAGCGCTTTCCGCTGCACTTGCGCACCGTAATGCCGCAATTGAAAGTGCATCTCTGCAACTTACAAAGGTAATTTTTTTTTTTGGCTTCCTTTTTTTCAAAAAATAAAAATTGTTCGAATTTCTCTGAACGTTTTTTTTTCCCGTCGAAGTTTTGCCGAGGTAGAGGCACTCACAAGTAGCGCAAGCGGTTAGCAATATCGGACTGTCAGCAATATCGAACTCACAGGTCTGTCGATGACTTCCTCTTTTTCGCTTTGTGTTTATGAACAGGAGGATTTTGTCTTGGCATGTTCCATCGAAACGGTTCGCTTTTTTTTCGGAGAAGTTCATCTGGTTTTTTCTTTTTTTCATTTTATTTCAAAACGGTACACCTAATTTTGTGCTCTGTGCGATGGCGTTTCAGACTTTGTAGATTCTGTGTTTTAGCTTGAAAGCAAATATGCAACAATCGATGAAAAAACAAAACGTGTGGAAGCTGAAAATGCGAAACTAAAAAAAGCAACTGAACGTTTGAGGCGGCTGATTGAGAGTAAGGATATTGAGACAATAAACAAGGAGCAAAATGAACTCTTCGCTACACTCACCAAAATTTCTCCTGTAATTTTTTTAATTTTTTTTAAAATGAAACAACTTCTGAATAGTCCACGATTTCCAAGTTTGAGTTCTCAAATTTTTGTATTCATAGTGATGGCTTCCGACTTTGAATATAGTTTATCGTATGTTTCAATGAAAAACTGGAATACAACGATTGAAGTGTGCTACTGATTATGAACTACTCCGAGCCAAATTGGGAAATAATTTTGACTGAAGAGGTCGGTTGAGGCTAGTCTAAGTCAGCCCCCTCCCCTCCCCGCCCCTTCCCACTCTCTCCCGTGCCATACGTCAGTTTTAATGAGAAGTGGAAGCACGCTGAACTAGCCGGGTGCAGTCGGCGGCAAGGATTCTGTCACAAATCATTGTCATGACAGTTCTTCTCTTCAAAATTTCGTATTATATTAAGCAGTTTAGTATTCCTGTAATTTATTTGTTTTTTTTTTACTGTTCCACTATCTTTGGAATCTTCATGTGTCCTTCTAGAAGGGTATGTGCAGCGTCACTGATTAATCTGCATGCGGATTTTTAGCTAAGATTTCGTTTGGCTGAAATGATACGGGAAATATTCTTTTTTTGTTTTAGATTGTTGAAAATCAAGGCTTTTCTGGTGCTGCTTTTCACACCGATCCCTTCGCTTCAGCTACCCGACAAGGTTTGCGTTTTTCGCAACTTCTTTTCACCGAAAATTGCTTGTGAAAAAAGGTCACTGTGTGTAGATTCGGTGAATTGGAGGAATCTCACCTGTGGACAGCAATGAGGAACAGCCGATTATTTGGCACTTTGCACCAATCTGCAAACAAAAACATGGCATATTAGAAGGATATAATAGCCAGTACATCCAATAAAGGTTAAGAATGTGATGCAATTGACGACGGCTACTAACAGGAAGCAGTGATGCAGTTGGCGACGACTACTGCTTCCCTTAGTCGAACGACAGATTTGCTTTTATGCCTTAATTGCGCAAGACCTATAATGAGGAATCTTCGACAATATCTCGGCAATTTACTGAAGAAATTTATCCCGCGTTAGCTATTGGAATCTCCACAGAACCAGAACCGCTCTATTTTTTATTTGAAAGAATTTGCAGATGTGGTATTCGAATGTGATCCATTTGCAAGCAGCAACAGCACACCATTCGCCAGTTTCGATGCTTTCTCGGGAAAAGATCCATTTAGTTCGGAGCAGACAGTGAAGTCGCCATCGGCTTATCAAGCTTCGTGCACAAAAGCACCGCCACCACGGCCTGCACCACCGCAAACACGCCAGACTCGGGTGAACGCGATTGAGCCGG